CATATCGTCGCAGGCTAATTCTCTTGTCCTGTCGATCTGCCGTTTCACGAAGTTTGCGAGCGGATGGAATGAGATCGGGAGGCACAAGACTTCGTAGACGAGGTTAAGCGCGAAATCACGACGCGCTATGTGCGCCATCTCGTGACCAAGGACGGTAGCCAGCGTATCCTCCGAGGTCTCACAGAAGCTCTCTGGAAGGATGATCACAGGCTTCCATGCGCCGAGAGTGGCGGGCGTCGTAGCCTTCGCCGAGAACATGACCGGCACGGGTTTCAGGCCAAATGCCTCCTGGCACCGCAACGCTACCGCGGCAAGCAGAGCGGAAGGCTCACGCTGGTAAGCCGAACGCCGAAAGCTCTGCGCTTTCAACCACGCGCGCCACAACCCCACCATGCGGTAGAGGACGAAGAGCGCATAGGCTATCGCGAGCGCCAGCGCCAAACTCGGTGAGGTTGCCACGGACTGCCGCTTCGTTTGAAGCAGATCCTCGAGCCTGAGACCGCCGGTTTCTACACGGGCAGTCACCGACGGGGAACGTGAAGGCTCTGATGTGAAGGTCAACCCCTCTTCTGGTTGAACAGCTCCGGCTCGGTGCTTGCCCATCTGGAGCGATTGATCTCTCTGAGAATCGAAGTCGAAGAGGCCCCAAAGCGGAAGCGCGAGGCTGAGGACGAGCGAAGCGAACCATAGCGGGTGCCGGTAACGTGCTGCTACGTTCTGCAAGAGCCGCGCGCAAACTAGTGCGCCGATCGCCACTGCGGCAATTTGCCAGGCGGCGTTCGCCAGGAAGTGCATCGCAAACTCACTTATCCTGCCCATCATCCCCCTCCTTTTTGAGCATCTTTTGAAGCTTCGAGAGTTTTGCCGGAGTCAGGCGTTTCGTTTCCACGAGGCTCATCACCAGGCTTTCCGCTGAGCCTCCAAACATGCGGTCGACCAAATCGCCAAGCGCGTGTCCAACCGCCTGGCTGCGGCTCACCGCAGGCCGGTAGAGGTATGCTTTGTCTTCAAGCGCGCGGGTGACCTTGCCCTTGCGATGAAGCACGTTGAGCATCGTCTGGACGGTGGTGTAGGCCCGCGTGCCCGCCAAAAGCTCTTGAACCGTCTGCACGCTGGCGGGCCCGGTCTCCCA